AGACCATACCCCAAAAATCGATTTGCAGTTTTTTGATTAGATAGATGTAAAACCTTACTGATTGAATCCCTTGGTATGATTCACTGCATCAAAACAGGCATCCGAGGCTGCACTCACGGCTTTTGCTTTGGCTCACTCGCTGCTTCAGGCCACCACCGTTGTGGAGCTCCGGCGGATCCTCTTGGAATGGGCCAAGAACAGCTCCTTGGATCGATGAAAAGCGATCGGAAAGCGCATATCCAGTCGATGGAGCAGGTATGAAGCTAAGCTGCGACTGCCAGGGGTCACATGTCGGGGTGGTGATTGGTCCCTAAGTGAGTGGAGTAGCTGGGCACCCCGACTACCTCCAAGTTCGGCACCCCTTTGTGACTCCTGGTGTGTGGTTGTTCTTCTTTTCTGGATGCTTGGGTCGATCTCATTCCAAGGTCTATAGAAGAAAGGTCCGTGAATGGGGTTAGATTAACAGACCATGTTTTTTTATATTTCATCTATTTTTGTCTACCAGGACCCTCCAACAGGTCTCCTGTGGTGGCTTTTGGAGACTTAAAAGTCGCGGGTGGTGACCTGTAGAGTCAGGTGCTGTGTATATATATTTTTTGGATCTGTGTGGAGTGTTTTGGAGGGCTCCCAAATGTTGAGTCAAGTTGAATCCTCAACTGGCATCCAACGGGCCAACGGGTGAACCAAACAACGGGTGATCTGAAGAGTCGAGTCGAGTCGAGTCGTTCGGGTTTTCGATCGACACGACCGGCCCCGACGGATCAGGGTGAGGCGTTTGGTGGATCAGGTTGATGTAGAGGTCATCATGTTGATTCATGTTCCGACCTTCCAAGAGGTGTCCATAAATCGCCTCTTAGACTCCTAGACGTTAATCAACGGGTGTTGGAAGGTCCTGGTATAGGGCTCCTAGAAGGTCCTGGTATAGGGCTGCTGGCCAACTAACAATGCTCAGAAGGCACTGAACCGAAACGAAGGTCAGCCTGCCCAAACGGGTATACACCCCTTAAGGATGAATCATGCGAGTCGAACCCGAAGTGCGAAGTGCGTTCTCTACGGCCAGGCCCACAAAAGGTATCTCTCATACCCAAGAAGTACGTGGATAAGCTGCAAAACCTCTATTTGGGGGACTGGTGGCACCCCCATCTTTCACGAGAAGAGGTAGAAGAAGCAGGTTACTAAACCATGGTTAACCTTTATTTTCCCCCATCAATGGTCCGAACGGAGTGAGCTCAGAGTGCCTTTGGTGCCGCTGGTGGAGCTGCTGTGTTAGTTTCTTCCGAGGTGAGGAGCGCTCTGTCGTAGCAGCACCTGGGCGATGAACCAAACGCGAGGAACGAGTCACGAGACCTTTGCCTAGATAGGTGTTACCAGGTCTGAGTCTCCTGAGGCGTTGGTCGGTTGGTGACCTAGCCAGGGGGGTTAGAGGCAGAAGGAAGATGGTCATTTCCACATTCGGCAGCTCCTGAACAGGACTCCTGAACATGTGATTCTCAGAAGGTGCCCTATCTGAGCCGCGGATTGGTGTGCTTATGAGGGTGAACACCTGGCGTAGCTTTGCAGATCCAATATGATATGGAGTCCATGAAGCCTCCAAACATGCTTCACACTGCCGTTTTGGTGTCCTAGCCATCCGACCCATTTGGTTCAAAAGTTTTTCCTGCCATTTTGGTCTCCTACCAGGATGGAGCCCGCACCGGCCGGGTAGAAGGGCTGCCGCCAGATGGAACCATGGAACCACACAGGGACTCAGTCTGACCCGGTAAAGCCTGGTCCTTTTGGACCTCATGATTGTTTTTTTTGTATTGGTCAATTCCAATTGACATGAGTTTTTTTTTTTCTGGCCTCTATAGGGATTGTTCGCCCCAAACGACTGGATTTGGCTGGCAAGAGGGCGCTCCCAAAAAGAGTACCTCCCTGGATTGTGGAATCATCGACGTGCCATGGCAACGAGTTCGGAGGACCATGAAATCCGAATGCCAAACAGGTGGTGCTGCTCCGTACCTATCCCTAAGGGTCCAGAACTATCCTGAGGATGTCCTTTGGCACCGATGACCATTCTCAGGAAGTACGAACTCACCTCCAAGACCATCCGATTCGGATGGTCCTAGACCCTTAGGGTATGGATCCACTGCCACCCTCTGAGGGCACGGTCTCTTCAGACACACACAGTGGTCGGTGGTCGAGTATAGGGCCCAGGGTCGGGTCCAGTCGTACCTTTCGAAGGTACGACTGGATCCCCAGGGCATGGTGATCTCAGGGAGTGTCAGAGATGAGAACGGCGCATTCACAGGCAGCAGTCTCCTGCTTGGGCCAGCTTGGAGGAGGGTTTGGGCCTCAGGGAGACCATTTGGAGAAGTGAAGGGTTGGGGGGATTCACACTATTGTTTCGAAGTCACCACTCTGAAGCCATGCATGGTGCCATGAACGGCATGGTGCTGTGAATAGTCCCCCGCACCTCCACATGAGGACCTTCGTCGTTTTCGTCCTTTTTGCGTTCGGTCACGAGTTCTTCAACCGGGCCGTTGGTGTGAAGCGTTTTTTTCCGTTTGGGAAGTGACTCAAATCAGGAAGAGGTGGTGAAACCGTGGCGAAGAGATCACAGAGGGTCCGAATGCCTGCAAACATGGGATAGGCTGGCTAAGCCACCTCCCACAGGATGATCCTTGGAACATCTTGGACACATCAAAGTGAACATGCCCAGACATGACTAATGGGACTGGAATGATATAGAATAATCACTATACAGATACATACATGTACTCCATGTCCATCCATCTGGTCTGGGATGTGTCAAGTTTGTGAAGCCAAATCTCGTTCTTTGGACGATCCAGTTTTGATCAATTGGTTGTTCCCCTTCAGTGCAGTGAGGTGCATCTTCAACTGTCAGCCAATGGGTCAAGAGAAATGCTGGAAGCAGCATGCGGCGCATGCAGCATTGGGGACCGAGGGTACATGGCGGTATATGCATGTATAAGCATAAAAAAAGAGTTGATTGAATGCTCTCATCAATTCTATCACCCTAGGGCTCCCACCATCGAACCGAAACGGAGGGGGCGGCCAGGAGCCCAAAGCCCAAAGCGGGTCAAGCATGTTCGCCAAAGACGGTGCTCGAACTGAGCCTTTAAAGAGCTCGAACTGGATCGAACTTCATTCCTTGTGATCCAAGAAATCCACATGTCATATCATGACTTCCAAAGAGTTTAAACACATGGTCATATTCACATGTCATAAACAAACAAAAACACATGGCTCCAGCCGGGGCGGTGGCATTTGAGCAAACGCACCCTTCAGCTTCCCCAAAACACCTTCGCGCGCGTCCCGTCTCTCATTTTTGGGTATGGAGGTTCCATCCGGGTCCATCACATCGGCCCTTTGTCGGTCGGAAGCCCGAGGTCCAGTGAGTTCCTTCAACTGTGGCCAGGACTGAAGAAGGCGTCGAACGGCGCGGAGCAAGACACCGGGTTTGCCCCAAACCACACCCGCAGCAGAGCAGTGCGAGACCGCGCGCGGTTGGCCCGAAGACCGGGTGCCGGTGCTTTGGGGCCATTTTTGGGGCACCAGATCCCAAAGGCTCCATGTGCAATAGATGCCGCACCATTGACCCGCCAAACCATCCCAATATGTTATAAATTTACCAATGAGTCACAAAGGGGTGCCTATCCTCCAACTGTGGCACACCTTTGCGACTGGTCGGCAAATATGGCATGCATGGAGTGTTTGGGTAATGGATCCTAGGTGGTGCCTTCCTCCATTAATGGAAAGGGGATGGTGCTCGGTTCCTTGCAAAGCTTCTAGCCCCTAGATCCATTGGATCAGTTGGGGTGTGGTTGGCTCGACCGCTCTTCCGGTGGGAGGTCGATGGGTCCCAAGAGCTACCCAGCCCAAAGGCTCAGAAAGGACCTTCAGTTCGCCAGGGTGACATGACAGGAAACCAGCCAGGGTGAAATGGAGCCTTCACCAACATGTAGCAGTTGGTTCGGGGCCGAGTTCGGGTCGCCTCTGGGAGAGTAAGATGAAGGGGATTCTTCCGGAAATCTCTGACATCTATGACCCCCCCTCCGAAACTCGCAAATACCGGTGTCTCTGAGTCGACTCGGTCATACCGGTGTCTATGAGTCGCACCCAGCCACCCACCCGAACCTGTCGGGTCCTGCCTGTTTGTTGGGAGCTCCGCTGGTTTTGGACCGCTCCGTCCGCCAGGTGAAGGGAGCTCTTTCCGCTGCTGCGGCGCTTCTGGAGGATGCCCCCGAAGAGGCAGTCAGACGTGAAGGACGTGGATGTCCAACCAGTCACAGCGAGCTCCATCCAGACTGGAATCCTTCCAGTTTCCAGCCTCCTGAAAACCTCAGTTATTGGGGGTGGTGTTTTGGATATGACTTATAGCTCCAGTACAATGAGGTCTAACTAACTATAGCTCTTTGACCGGAAGAATTCTTGCATGGGACTGCCGGAATAGTTACAGAATGTTACAGACATGGATGTGTCATGTTCCTTCAATTGTAAGTCTTCCAATCCCATTTGTTCTTCGTCATCTGCCCGGAAAGATACGTTTATCCCATGCAAAACCGACGTTTAAACCTAAGGGAACGGTCACATTTAATACGTCTACTGAAAGAACACACCGACCTAATCCATTTGCTACTAAAACCGATGAACACTCGCTGAAATCCACCGATCTAGAATCGCAACCCGCATCCTGCCGCATCCAGACATGAATCTTTGGCCATACACCTTCCAAAAGCACTGCCATTCTCCGCAAGGTGCTTCGCAGCGTGTTCTCCTCCTCCAGCCTCTGTAGCTCCCTGGCCGCGCGTCTCCTGCGCCGGCCCAACGCCTCTGCACGGCCGCTCGCGCTGCTGGCGGTCCACGCGGCCGCGCGCGACGCGCGGCACCTGGCGCCGGATCATCCAGCGCTGCAACTCATCGCGGCGCGCGCTGCAGAAGTCGCATGCCCCGTGCGCGAAGAGGGAAGCGTTTGGCCGAAGGGAAAGGCTGAAGTGATGGAGGAGCTGCTGAAGTTGAAGGATTCATTGCCGGTCGAAGGGTCTCCGCATGGAGAGGCCCATGGGCAGCAGTCACTTGGAGAATCGAAGGCTGGTGCGCCGATGGATTCGGCATATGAAGTAACGGCTTTCACCTCGCTCTTCCTAGCATATCATGAAATCTGCAGGATCTTTTTTGTTGAGTTGCTCTTGTTGAAATCCACTGCACCCTAGAATGACCATGAATGACCCCTATTTTGAGTAAAGGCCTTTCTAGTATGTCCCCAAATCTGCCGGTGTTCCAAACAAGTGTCACGCTGTCACGGTCCAAAAAGACACAGCCTGTCCATCCAGGTTGCGCTTTTGGCTCTGTTTGGGGCACCTCATGTCGATCGAATCCCACACCGTGGCAGCCGCGGCCGCCGCGCGGGAGGCGCTGCAGCGGGGCGCCTTGCTGCCGGCCACCCGAGTGGTGGTGCAGAACGTTTGGGCTCAGGCGTGACACGTCGATCGCGCTGCTCGACGAAGGGAGTGACTGACGTATGGAATAGTTACTGACGTGGATGGGTCATCTTCATAATAGGGTAAAAAACTGGTAAACATGTGTGGTAAATCTATGCAACTATTCCAGTCCTATGGATACAAGAGCTGCCCTGAGTCGCCTGGCTCGTGGTCCGTTTCCACGGTGCAACAGCTGCCCCGGTTGCACTGAGCATACGAAAGCGCTGCACAGCTGCTCCGGTTGGACGATTGGAGATGCTTTGAACAATCCATAGGGAGCCCGTCGCCCAAACATGTGGGGCCGAACTCACTCCTCTACTCTTTCCCGAGGGATCCAGCCGTGCCTTCTCAGAAGGTACTTGGAGCCTCCTGGCACCTACATAACAGTGTCTCCGTCCTCACCTTCTGAGAAGGTACGACTGGATCCCTGGGGTTTGTTATGTCCCAAATTACGTCCCAGGTAGCGTCCCACCGCCCGAATTCTGGCCGTGGCGTTGTATAACTGTGACGTGGCCGCGTCGTGCTTGGTCCCAAATACTCCATGTTTGGATGACCTGTACATGGACCCCGAGTCAATGTGTACGTAGCTTTGCCAGGAGTGTTTGGAGTGTTTGGATGGTGAGGAACACATGGCGTTGAGGTGTTTTTCTCTCGGAGCCACCAGGAATTGCATGGAATTGCTATATGAACTGTGCCAGGTTCAGCCAGAAGTTCTTTGACGTGAGGAACCCGCCAGTGGGACTTTCTGGATAGAAGGAAGAAAGAAAGCTGAGGGGTCTTGTGAACCTATCAGTGCGACATAGTGCAAGCACTTGTGTTCACCCGAATCTGATGGTTTCCACCCCAAGCCGCCAAGCCTCCCCTCGCCTTCCCTGGCCATCCCACACCTTCCCCGGTGCTTCTCCCACACCTTCATCCTCCTTCACCCCAGCAGGCCGTGGTGCAGGGACCCAAGAGGCTTGTGTTGGACCTGGTGGAGCAGCTGAAGGACACGGAAATGCCCGAGGCCTTCGCCACGCACCTGGGACTTTTTGCCCTTTAGTTCTTTATTCCTATTGCAACACACTCCCTAGGCCTCCAGGTACCTTCTGAGAAGGTGGGACAGGGGTCCGTTTGGAGGGTCCAAATACTTTCTGAGGAGGTACGACTGCAGGTGTGGGGACTTAGTCACCTATAGTTCCGAGCAAAAGAAATTGGAAACGCCTTAAGTCCATGTTTGGATTGGTATTCTTCTTTTTCCCAGTGGTGAATGCCTGGCATGGGGAAGATAGGTAAAAGTTGGGCAACGTATATATATACCTGAAGTCTCAGTCCGTACCTCAGAAAACTGGGTACAGTACCCTTACAGTACCTGCACCTGTTTCTTTTCTAATAAAAGGTCATGTGATATAAGTCCTTTTTGTCTAAGGCACCTGAAGTCGTGATTCCCAAATAGATAGAAAACGTAGATATCCCCCAATCCATTCTGTTCATGGAGGATCATGGAGGATCTACTTTTTCTATTTGGAACCCCACGATCTTCGGTTTCCACCCCCAAGGAACTCGTTGGCGGTGGCCGCCCAGCTGCTGCTGCTACTCGTCGACGTGCTGTTGCGCGGGCTTCGGGGGGGGGCAGCAGTACTTGGGGAGTGAAGCGATGTGCAGAACCCAGGATTCCATGGGAATAGAATATATATATATATAATATTAATATATATATATATTATATGTAACTATATTGTAATATTAGATAAACACCATAAAACGCCCATGGTTGCCCCACAGAAAAATACATAAATATAATTCAATATATTATATATATATACATAAATCTTTGTTGCCCCATGAAAATGAACCATCCATGTTTGTAACCATTTTTTGTAACTATTCCAGACGTGGAGTGAGAGTGTTTGGGGATGTGAAGCAAAGGAGATCGATTGCAGAGTGACACTTTCCTTGAGGAATTTGACAGGAAACACCCATGGTGTGCCTAGAAACACACTGAGTTCTAGGATGTTTTAGGACTTACGATTCCATCATATTTGATGCTGCCTCGGCGGCGTTTTTCCCGAATGCGTAGTGAAGGGTTCTCGTTTAACTCTGGGGGGTCTGGGGGTAGAGCCTTGTTCGTGACTCGTTGTCTCAGCGTTTGCAACCGTTGTCAACCGCCTGCAACCGTTCGCAGGTGGAGCGCTATGGCGCTGGCATTGGGGGAAGCTTTTGGATGGAAGTGCGGGGGTTGAATTCACTGCGCAGGCGTAGCGTTTTGTGATGGTTAGTTTTCTGCGCAGTCACATTGGGATTGGCGTTTGGAGGGTGGTGTTTTTGGGGTGTTGGATGTGGCTGCGATCTCAGCTCAAATGGCGACTCTGGTGGATGGGAGTGCGCTCAGGACGTGTCGAAGCATTCCAAACGTGTGGTGTGGTGCAAACTTTGTTGCAGCTCACATGATATGATATTGTCACTATTAGTGGCAGGCGCAGTACTTTGTGCGGGCTTTGGGGTATGGAAGTGCGATTTTCGTGGCAGGCGCAGGGAATGGTGAGACCACACCACATTTTCAAACATCCAGAGTTGCATATCTGCATTTGCCAAGTGCCAACTTTGCCGATATGTATGCATTGGCTCAACCATCTCAGCGCAGTGGCATATCAAATCTCATGCAATCAACTTATTCTTTGAATTGCCAAGGTCCTCCAGATATGGTGTTCATTCTTCTTCCTTGTCTCTCTGTTTTAGATGCCAGAGGGCGCCAGCGTTTCTTTTTGGATGGATGGCGGATCGATTTTGACCCCCCATGTTTGTTTTCCATCGCGCTAAGCCATGATCATGAGCATCCTCGCCGGTATTCGATTCTCCGGTTCTATGGTTGGAAGCCGCAGTGGAAGGTAACGTTGATGGAAGGTATACCCCACGACGACGGGGGATAATTAGGGGGAGCGAGGTCATCGACTAACCTTTAAATGCTTCTTCTCCGCAAACGATTTGTTGATCCGATCCTGGGAGTTCGATTCACGGGACTTTTCGCAGCGACCAACCAGCGTCGTGAATCCTGACTGGCGGGGGACTGGGTTCGGTGCGATCCTCCAAATCGCACAGGATCACACGGTGATTGGTGTCATATATGACACTTGTTGAGAACGGGAAACAGGGCTTGATGGTGTGTCATGAGCAATGGTTTGCCATTCTATGAACCGAAGCACGCCTTGAAATACTTTTTGACCAATTTTGATTTGACATGGTTTTGTTACGCTACCAATGTTGGTTCGATAGTATTTTAGGACACCGTTGGTTGCGCGCATATACAATCCAAATCTTTGAAACAATGTTGTGCAGACGTACTGGAATCAGACAGGGTTTTCCCTGTGCATAAGCCTTTTGTTGCGAGCGCACGACTTCTGTGTTCATTCGTCGACTGCTTCCTGCTATCGCGCCGGTTCCACACATGGTGACACATGTACTGATGGTGGCACAATGAATAAGAAGATGATGATTTAGAAGAAATTTGCCACTATGAAAATGGATGATGACACAATCAAGAAGAAATCTGGCACTAGGCACTGACACTGCGGTGGCGCGGCTGTTGGTTCAATAGGTGAGTTTATGTGCAAGTGCATACGCCATGGCACGTTGCACAAAAGACCAAACCAAAATAACGGATGCTGGCGTGAAACGATTGCTTCGGCCAAGTGCCCACATCCATGTGGAGCAACTCAATGCTGCATTGGAAGCAGTTTCCCCGCCAAGAATTTCAATCTGGACAGATTACAGCTTGCGCCAAAGGAAGCGGTTCGAAGAACAAGGTGGCGCATAGCCACAGTGCCCTGTCACTTCTTGATGTCGGTACAGATTTACAAGAGAGTTTTTTGCAATTTTGTTTGGGGTTGTAGGCGCGACTTCTCGTATTTCAGAGACTCACGAACGCCCCTGCGCACGTTGAACAACTACCGGCGGGGGACTACATAAACGATTCAAGGAGCTGCTGGACAAAGGGGTGCCCCTCGTGCTCTTTGCTGACTACATCCGCCTTGCAGCGATGAAGGGCGCAAGAGCGTCGTCGTGGTTCATTGACGTGGATACTGTGTGGATCAATCAAGCCCCAAATGCCAAGTTTTGGCAGCAGTTTCGGAAGCTCGCGCGCTAGGAGGCGGCGCAGTCTCAACTTCCAAGTTTTGGCCAGATCAGCCAATGGGATGGAGCTGACGGCGAAGCTGGTGCTGGCTCTGGCTTGATTCCGTGGAGTGGCCCTCACGGGCCAGACGTGGTTGTGGAGGAGGTGAGTAGCTGGAAGGGCAAGGGGAATTGAAAGCGCAGTGCACTTGCATTTTGATTTCCAGATGGGTGGCCTTTGTTGGGACCAGTTCGCAGTGAACCGTCAGCGGTCCCAACCTTTCTGGCTGGTGCATTACCTCACTAGGCAGGGCGACCGAGTACATGTGGCTTCTCAGTTCTTCTTGCCCCACCGGTCTCCAATTTTGGATGGCTTGATGCACTATGCACTACTGCGAAAATATCAGGGCGCCGGTGGCGGCGTGATCGAATACTAACTCGGTCATGAGTGAGACGGAAAGACTCATAAGGAGACGGATGGTATAGATTCCGCAGGATTTGCTGCATCCCTGAAAAACCGATGGAGTGCACATCATGTGATTCGACCTGCTTATGTGTTACACCTGTTAGAAAAAGCATAGCCGTGACCACCGCAGGTTACACCTGTTAGAAAAATCACAGGCGTGTCCACCATAGGTGACCGACAAGAGTGTCCTACAAGGGAGTGCCTCATAAGGTGTCCTATAAGAGTGTCCTACAAAAGTGTCCCGCAAGAGTGTCCGACAAGAGTGTTTTACAAGAGGGTCCCACAAGAGTGCACTACTTGCATCGCAAATGTAATGTGGGAAGTAGCTCCTTGGAGCTGCGCCTTCAGGACAGGCCGCTTGGTAGTACACATGTAGTGAGGGAAGCGGTTTTTGGTCCCGGGCGCCTCGGAACTGGCAGCTGTGGCCTCAGAACAGGCAACTTGTAGTGCACTGTAGTGCGGGAAGCAGGTTGTGGGAGCTGTGGCCTCAGAACTGGCCACTCGGTAGTGCACATGTAGTGCGGGAAGCGTGCGGCCTCAGAACTGGCCACTTGGTAGTACAAGCACGGGAAGCAGTTTCTGGGACCTGTGGCCTCAGAACTGTCAACTGATGTGTGGGTAAAATACATCTGCGTAGTCACTGGAAATTTGGATGCTGAAGTCTCCCACAAACCAGGCAGTTGTTTGGTACACACAAGTCACAAGTCTCGCAAGTGGCGGGGCCCCACGGTCGGAGACGTCGGTCTCGCGCCTCGGTGGCCGCTTCTGAGGCATCCGGACTTCGCCTTGAGTGAGGGCAACGAGCTGGAGCAGTGCCTCGTGCGCACGAACAGTGTGGTCCGGGAGAAAGCGAGAGCAGAGACGCCCAGTTTCCGGCTGAGGTTTGAAGCCTCACGACTCGTTGTTGAAAAGGGCCTAAGAGGATTGGACATCCCTTTTTAGGACAGCACTGAACAAATCCATTATGATAGCACGCAAAATGTGTTTGAATTCACAAAATTGATGATCGTTTGCGAGTTCATCTTGTCGTGTGTCTGTGTGTGTTTTGAGTTCATATTAGACTATATAATGCCAAACCCATTGACCCCCCAAAAACACCCCACCTCATTGGCGTGCCCCGATTCCATGTGCTACCCAGGAAAAGTTGATAATTAACCAACTTAAATTTGGGGAGTTGGTTTCATAGTCAAAATCCAGGTGGACAGTTTGGTTCACCTTTGCTTTCTAGTTCGGCTTAGGACGTCAAAATTGGAAACTGACCAACACATGTTTGACCCTATCACAGACTTTTGCATCCCCATGTTTTGACCAAATCTGCAAGATCCCCCACAGGGAGTGGCTTTAGACTGGAGTTTCAGGAGCAAGCCTCGCAGTGATGTGGGCGCACAGTGCGCGAGCACGGCTCGCGGCTGTAAAGAACTGTCCAATTCTGTGCAGATCCCGTGCACATGCCTGGTCACAGGTGCTTGCAGCAGCCCACATCTTTGAATGTTGGGGAATGTTTTGTAGATCTGGACGCAACTGCCCCATGATCTTCCAGGATCCCCCGTCACCCTCTTGTTTTTTGCTGGCCCCTTTGTCCGACTCTGCACCAGGAGTCAACACCGGCAAACACCAGCCTCATCCAGTTCGGATGGATACCGGAAAACACATGACGTGGTTCAGTTCAAGGGGCCACATCGATCAAGTATACCCAAACTAGGTGGTGCTGGCCAATGTTTTGCTTCATACCATATCCCTCGGGCTCCAGTTGTACCTTCTGAGAAGCTGGGACTGGGGTAGGTGCCAGGAGGGTCCAGTCATATATACCTTGTGAGGAGGTACTTGGAGCCCTATAGGCCCTAGAGCCCTAGAGTATAGGTCAGTTGTTTACTCATTTTACTGGAGTTGATGAGTTTGAACACTCAATCAGGTGAACGGACCGACAGGAGACCGACATGGACTTCCAGGTCCATGGTTAATGGTCCTAAGGCTTTGGTCGGCCACCATCGCCTGGAGTGCCTCCTATGTCCACCAGCCACGGCTCTTGGCCTCCTTGGTGCTTTTTCACGCCTTGGAGGAGCAGCGCATCAGGCGACCGCGGATCACCCGAGCGATGGCGGTCGTTGCGGGCTCCGTTGGGTTTTCCGTTCGGGTGAAGACCGTTTCTCCGTTTCGCGACGCTGGGGCAGTGGGGTGGGTAGCTGCCAGGGGGGGAATTCCCATGATTCTGAGGACAGGGGCTAGGAATCCTCGAGGGAATAAACACTATAAAGGGAGGACCTTGAAGTGCTTCCTGGCCAACAAGGATGAGTTATGTTAAAATGCCAGCCCCAACCCCTATTTCAAGGGATGGCTAGGACCCCGACCGGAAAGGGACTCATGGAACATCTACCACTCCCGACTTGCACTCCGGTTCCGGTTGAGAGACTGAAGCTTAAGAAGCTTCACCTTTTGCTCATATCCAGGAAACATGAATCACCTGCAAAACCTTTTGGGGAACCAGTGGTGGCACCCGTAGAACCCAGCTCAGATTGAACAGGTAGACTTCGTTCGGTGAAGCCGTTTTTAATTTATGACGTTCCCCTACACCTCCAGTCGTACCTCCTCAGAAGGTATGACTGGACCCTCCGTTCAAAATCTCCCGACCCCGATCTGGAACCCAAGAAAGGACCGGAGTTAATAGCCACAAACCAGACATGTTCAGGTTCTGCTCTTCATGTCATGTAATTACAGTTTCTCGACCTAGATCTTCCAACGACGCATTGTTTTTTCATCCACCATCCACCTCCATCCACCAAACCAATCCAAAAAAAGGTTTGCAAACATGTCTGCATGGTTGGTGCCTATTGGAGGTTCGGGGTGCTCATTATCCACTCACTTTAGGGACTAAAACAGAACCCCTTTGTGACTCCTGGTATTTTTGATCGTTGCCGATGTTGCAATGTTTTGTACAGAACGACGCGCCAGAACACCGGGCTGGTACTTGGAAGCCTTGCACCAACAGGTGGGCCTGTGAGCTGGGGTGCTTGGGGGCATCCAGGAGCGAGTGGAACACCCCCGGCTCAATGTGGACGGGCCTAGCTTCGATGGGTTGGGCCGCCCGATTTCAGTCGGGCCTGTTATTGCAGTGGCTTCTGAGTATGGCACTGGCACCCCTACATGTCTTAGACAGATGGGGGTCGTGGGGATCTTGCCATCTACTCTGAAACCACTGTATATCTCGTGCTTTACCCTGTGCTTCGAGGGAATCCTTGGGGAGGATGGGATATGATGATATGATGGACAAACCTCTATACACAAAGTGAATCTACCATTTTATAGAGATTGTGTGGGAGGTGAGGGGGATGACTCCATCTTCAATATGGCCACACCGACCCATGTGGCGGTCCACCAAGTCAGCGCAAGCATCCACTGGGCATGGTCCGGGTACCAGGCACCGGACCGGGGACTGCACTGCTGGACTGCTGGACTCGACACCACTCCAGGCGCGAGGCGTCAATAGGTGATTCGGGGGGGTCTCAAAAACATCCAAAACCACCGGACTTGGAGGGTCCTTCACTGCGCCTTCACTGCCGCACCTAAGTGAAACCTAGCTCCACGGCGAGACTTGGAGGGTCAGGCATGGACCTCACTCGAGCTGGTCATCCAAAACCACGACCAGCAGAAATGTCTGAATTGTTTGGGACCAGGGTGCTGGACCATGCAGATTGGACCGTCTAGGGTTGTTTTCTTTTTTGGCCTGTAACAGGGATCCAGTCGTACCTTCTCAGCGTGGACCCTCCTGGCACCAAATCAGTGTACAGTCCTCACCAAATCTGAGAAGCTACAACGGCTCCCTACCTGGACCCTCCTGTCGGGGTGTCCTGGCTGGACTACCCCACACTACCCAGGATGGCTTCCAATGGGCACCCGGAGGGTCCTGGTACAATTGGGGCTTTCCAAAAGCTTCGGCAGGTCCAGGATCGCCTCCCTTCAGGTCCGGGATGCCTCGGCCTTCAAGAAGCTTCGCTCCAAGGTGCTCCGCGTGAAGACGCGAAGACGCGAAGAGAAGGACTCCCCAACAAATCCCAGCGATAGGCTGAAGGTGCAGATACGCTTTTGGCATCCAACTGACGGCTGTGGCGCCACGAGGTTCTGAAGATCTATGGAACTGACCAGGTGACTGGAGGTTCTTCTTGGACCAGTGGGTCACTGGATGGTAAGCTGGTGAATTCGCGGTGAGGTTTTGCGATCCGGACGGCTGCACGATCGGCTCAAGACTGTTTCAGGAGCTTCAAACTGGAGGCGAAACTGGGCTGAGAAGGTCACCCTAGGGCTCCGTCCGTCGTACCTCCGGACCGGTTCGGTAGGACTGGAGCCGTATCGGATGTCTAGCTGTCTAGCTTTGGATCGCCAGAGTTTGGAGTCTGGCCTAAGGAATAGAATTGAATATCAAGAGAGGTTAAGTGACCTTATAGGACCCTACTGGGGTACCTATGGGATGGTCTATAGGGTCCTTCAACCTCTGTTGGTATACTCCTAATAGCGTCCTTGTTCCTAGTAGCGATGCCCGAAATGCTCCGTTCGTAGCGTCCGCTTGCTCCGTTCGTAGCGATGCCAGGAGCCCAGCTTCTTGTTCCTAGGGTTAGTGGACATGTTTGGTCTTTTAGGAGCCACACCTCTTCTCGGCAGATGGGTCCTCAGATCTGAATGACACTTTCCTCGAGCTGAGAGCTGGAGCGAGTCTCAGACAGGTTTGCGCTTGATAGGACTGTTTTGGCTGGTTAAAGTGGGGGGCCTCTTTGCCGCATGACCAGCAAGACCTCAAGCGGTCTTGCTTGGCATCGAAGACCTGAACACCTCAAACACCAAAACATGCGCCTCAAACGCCTCTCTCGCAGCTCTTCTTCCAGTGATTTCCAGGTTCGCTCGTCTCCAGGTGAAGATCGAGGATTGGATCAGTGATTGCTGGCGGGAAGTCCTCAAGCCAACCCGACCCTTGGACGTCCAGCTTGCAAAGGCCTGCAAACAGGCGGGGCTGCTCCAGTCGATGAGGGTTACCTTGGGCTCCGTTTTCGTTCCGAACCTGAGGTTCGGTGGGACTGGGGTGGGTGCCAGGGGGGTCTGAGTACCGAACCTGAGGAGGTACGACTGGAGGTGTAGGGTTCATGGCTGGTGGGCTGGGAGACGAGTCGAGCAGAGCCCCATGAGTGCTGGTCCGAGCGCCGTCGGCGCTGCTCAGGAGGTCGACCATTGAAAACCACATATAAAACCACTATCAGTCGAGAGCGGCAACCACGGAAAAAGCGGAAACCATCGGAGAATGGTCCTCTCCACAATCGGAGAAAGCGTCTTTCTTGGCGCTGAAAAGAGAGCCCTGGCCACCCCCGGCAGCGATCGCAGGTCGCGGGAGACTTTTGGTCACCGTGGAATGCCCAGCGGAGGATGTCGAGACGTGAAAGAATTTTCGGGTCGAAGTGGAGGGATCATGTTGTTCATGGTGATCCTATAGGTGTTTCCATGGCTCCATTGAAAAAGAGCCCGGATGCGATACTCGCAAAGTCAACCACTATATATGCTATAGGGCTCCAACTACCTGGAGAAGATGGTTAGGTTGGCTGCCAGGAAGGTCAGTCCCCACCTTCTAAGGATCTGGGCCAGGAGCCCTATAGGGCATGATCCCTGAGAGTCCAACGTGTTCATTTTACCCCTATGACTCTATGACTACCAGGAGGAGTAAAATGAGTCATTGATCCAACAGAGGTTGAAGAACCCTAGTTCGACAACCCCATAGCTACCCCAGGTGACGGGTCCTAGTTCAGGTCACTTCACCTCTCTTGGATGGTGAAGACGATGTGTTCTTTGTAGCGGCATGTGACTTTGTTTTGGGTCGAAGGGAAGATCCGTGACATGAACTGTCTTGTCGCTGTTTGAAGATGCACCGTGTTTCGTTCGATGCAACAAACCAGATCTTAAGATCCCTTGATCCAATGTACATTGGGCGCGTCTAGAGCTGGCAACTTGCCTGCCTTTCGAAACAGCAAGAATTGTTATCACTGATTCTACCTAGCAGGGAAGATCGGGATATCTATAGATATCTCGTCTCACCTGAATGCTAAAGCTGCCAGCAAATATTGTGACTCCGGTCATTGCAATGGAATCGCCACGACGTTTTTCGGTTAACATCTCACACAAATGGCGGCCACCCAGGTTGCAGCTTTGGTCGAGAGAATTGTAAATCAGTATTGTACCCCAACAATCCATGTCAGGAGGTTTTAAAGGCATGTGTATATATGTCAAGTAAACATGCCATGCAGGGCACAAAATATGTTGCCTGCCTAATATTCTCCTCTATAGAAACATCTAAAAACCCTCCAAACGTAGGCAAATCTTCCACATGGATGGTCTGGGAACTAGAACAGCAATCCTTATTGCATCTCAAGATGCATCTCTACATAGATTGGAACTTGGAGTACCTCATGTGAGCGCTTCCTGTGGCCACAGGGCCCCGGGTGGGCCCAGCCCTGTGCTCTCAGGCCAGATGAGGATGCGGATGAGCATGTGTCAGGTCTGCGAAAGCTGCGTACTGGAGCGGTTTTAGTCACACAAGTGATTTCCAATTGAAATCCAAGGTAGAAGGTTCAATTCGCCTTCCGAATCCTTTTCCAGACCAAACTGTGTCATAGACAGCATCATAGACGGCGACATAGACTGCCAGTGCCTTCCAAGGGCTGTTCAGTCGAAACCTACAAGCAGTGCAGGAGTGTAGGAGATTCTATTGCAGCCGTTCTACGTGGTTTTCTTTATGAATTTTAAGTTTCCCTGTGGGTGAAACCTCGGGGAATATGTGAAACGTCGGGTTCCTTCAAATCCAAGTGTTCCGAACCGTGGGCATCGGACCATCCGTCGACCGACTGACCGGTGACCGGTGACCGGCCGAAGATGGAAGTCTGAACATGAGAGGAAGATATACCCAGACACGACCGCCATCTGGGACGACAAGCGTCCGGACTGCCTTCAAAACGGAAAAAGGGGTGGTTGGTTGAAACGGAGTCTTGCTGGGGCAGTCCTATGGCAGTCCCACATGCTGTTTGGATGTCCTGGCTGGACTACCCCCCCACGAGGCGTGCCCACAACGGATCTTCCGGATCTCCAGCACAATGGCAGCGAAGCAATGCTTTGTTCTAGACACTGGCTAGCATCAACTCCACGAGCTCTCCAAACAGATGCTGTCACACCCCAGCTGGGCTGACACCGGCTGACACCCCCGGAATTCGGACGTCCGGACGGCTACCGGACGTCGCAGAGGGGCCGTTCAGGCAGCCACCAACGGCGGCCCGAACGACCAGGCAATGACCAAGGCGCGGCGGATTTGGCCGAGGCGCGAAAAAGTGCATTCATCATTCTTGGGACTTTAGATCATCCCTGAAACATGAACAGATTGAACGTTTGGTGAACCTGTATCTTTCAGGGAAAGTGGTTCTTGAGGTGATGGACTTCAACATGCATCCTTTGCAGTTTGACAAAACCAGACTAACAGTGACTACCACGCACGTCAACCAGTCAGAGGGCATCATAGAACTGTTGCTTTGGATGTGGCAATTGCAAGACACACGCCTTGCAAGCCTTTGCAACCAAACGACGCTTCGGTGTTAGCACCGAGGTCGATCTAGCCACTGATCAACACAGCAGAACTGATGGGGCCAAGGGTCCTTGAATGTCCTTGATCACTCCAAGAGGATGGTGGCTTTCACTAGCCGCTGGTCTCAGTGGCAACTACTTCTACTCCAAGAGTTACCCTCAATCAGTAGACTCGCAGAACATGACCATCTTGAAGTCTTGAAGCTAATATGTTTGACTCCTTTAACTGAATTTGTTTGGACTGGATTATTGTTCGGTCTAGAATCCGAGTCTGGAACGTTCCTTCATCGATCTCGTTCATCACGGACGTCCGCAGGCGATGTCGTGGACATCGTGGTTTGTGCCTCGTTGGTCGACAATGCGCCTCGTCGCACCTCGAGTGTTGTGGTGCGGTCGCCGAGACGTTCGACACACCAGGCGACAGATGTGTATGGTATACGTATGAGACCATCCATAACATACAATCGGATCGTGTGTTTTTTGTCACATACTTGGGGGTTTAAGCCCAATGAAGCACTTAGTCACTGGCTCCACAAAGATGGTCGAAGCTCCAAAGCCGAACTCGTGCAGAACTCGGAGCTGAGAGTCCTGGAGCCTCTGAAAGTGCCAGTCATGGATGGGTTCTTCACGAAGCGTGGAATTGGCTGCATCAGGCCATCAGGAGTTGTTCTATGATGTTTTTTCTTGGGGCTTCAAGGCTTCTCCTGATCTCGGTGTTACCAACGAGATGAGGCCTAGTAAAGTCCACTCAGCAATCCAGGGTGGCGCTGGGTGTGTGGACAGGCTCCCCCCAAAACCACCTCCACGAATGTAGGTGGAATGCCTTGGTCCTCACCCAGGGTGACCTGGGGCCTATCTAAGAGTTTACCTACCTCTGTGAATAAGGTGGCGGGGATCTCACTGCACCGCTTACAGCTTCAACAAATGAAACTCATGATCCAAGCAAATGGAGAAGCTGGGCCACACCCAACCCCTCGAATGGACACTATTAGATGAGGCCCAGATTTCAACTCAGAGTCAGAGCTGAACTTGAGCTGAACAAACACCTGAGGAGTGCCCCCCTTCCCTTCCCTAGTCTCATTGCTTCGTACTATGAACCCCTTGCAAGTTGATTGCCCAAGTGCTCCCGCTCCGTGCGTCGCTTGGCACGGCCGCCCCGTTCGTCCCGAGGTGCCCAACATGGCTGGCCTCGTTCGCACCTCCGAAGCCTTACTGGGCCGCCACTGGGCATCTCACTGGGCCGGGACGCCGGCGCCGGTTCAGCGCTATTCAGTTGGGATGAGTGACCAGTGGTCAACGCCCACCCCGAAGGCAGCGGTAGGAGCCCACCAAGCATCACATATGAGTTTCGAATGATTGAACTCACATGGTCCTTATCCCTACACCTCCAAGTACCTCCTCAGAAGGTACTTGGACCCTCCTGGCACCCACCCCAATCCCATTTTTGGTCAGGTTCGGAACGAAAACGGAGGGCAAACGGGACAGTTTCTGTTCGTTGAAGCCACCAACCATCCGCTTCGTGGCTGTCAGGGCGGCAGTCAGGGACCGAGTCGCGGTCGCGGTGACGCGTGCGGGTTTCACGGGCCGAGGCCGAGTGGAAGTGGCGTTGAGGAACGAGAAGGCCGGCTGGGAAGGCAGAGGAAAGGCCTGGGCAGTGCCAGTTCTAGCTTGAGTAGAGAGAGGTCAATAGAATATTCTATACGATGATACATTTGACACATTGTGGAGATAACATGATGTGATAGGAATAGATGCGAGTATAGATTCTAGATATTTGCTTTGAGGTGTTTTTAGTCACTTGTGAGCCAACATGAGCAACATGCTCATAATATAGGAGCTCAGTCAGCTGACTGTTTGATGCCGGGACTGTGTTGGATCGAAGATGTTGAAGCTGTGTTGGATCGAAGGTTCTACAAGAAGCCAGCTTCCAGAAGATGGTGGTGGCTGCTGCAGCTTGGTAGATTTGGAGGTTGGCAGTGAACACAAGGAATCCGTCCCTTTTGGCTGCGCCGGTGAAGAAACAAGAGAAAGAACCATCTTGTCGCAGCCAGTGACCTGTTTGGAGTCTCAGCCCATGACCTCAAAAAGCAGTCCCAGAGGCATCAAGTTCTTCGAACCTCGGATCGATCACGCCCTTGGATAGAAGAATCAGTTTGGCGCGCCGCTTGGAGCGATCTTGTATCTCATGCAGCGAGAGCGCATGGTGAACCTATAGCAAGAGTATACCCTCCTAAGACTGCACCCCACCCACCCCCAGCAAAATTGGGACGAAGGCGCCCGTCTTTGACGGATCATGAACTGTTGGCCGACCAAATTGATGCCAAGTTGCTGTGAAACCAATTGATGCCAAGAAATCTCATGATCTTGCCTTCGAACATGGAAAAAACATTGGTGTTCGAGAAACAAGCAAGCAGTCAGGAGACAACCTGTGACCTTTGTTGGGGGATTGGTGGTTGCCTCACTCAACTCCAACCTTTTCAAGAGGGTTCCAGTAACCTTTATTCTCCAGGCACAGCTCAAGGGGACCAGGTTGGTCACCCATTGCTGAAGTGAATGGATCCTCACTCCGGACCCAGATTGAGTTCAAACCACTGGGGGGTCCAATTTGACCCTGGTCCTTCGTCATTCTCACTCTTCAGGACAAGAGCGTTCGTGGGAGGCTCAGGAATCGCCGGGGCGACTCGTGGCGCGGGAAGGCAACGCGATTCCTGCGCATAGGATCCGAGCACGACACCCTGAAGTGCAAAAATGCACTGTTTTTGTATGAATGTAGTAATTGTGTTTGGTCTTTTCGAAAGGCCCATTGTTTTACCAGGATTTTAGACTACAACACCAGGTCAACCTTCTTTTTTCAATGATCTTTAGCTTGAAGGTACGACAGTTTCTCCTCTACAACCCGACGCGGATTTCAGGTTCCATATGGGTCTTCCAGGGTGTACCAAGTACAACCACGGGGTGGGGATCTTTGGGGTATTCTTTTCAAAGAACAGGAGACTTTATCTATGCAGCCCATCGTTGGAACCGGCAGCTGAGGTAGAAAAGGTCCCAAAGATTGACAAAAGATATGCTGGCTTTTCTGTTGATACTATATATACAATTTATGGACATATTCATAGATACTGTAGCAAGGACCAACTGGCCTTATTAGACAGTCTTATATAGACCTTCCCAGTGGCCTCTTTGGAGTCCCTAGTCGTGACTTGTTCACGGGTCTCATGAACCCCTCAAGCCAGGAGATCACAAGGTCGCTGGTAGCTTGGTATGCTTGCTTACGTCTTCCCAGAAACATGATGATGCAGAATCTGAAGGTTTTTGGCAAAGGACCTTCAAAAATAAGCACCGCAAACCTCCACAAGGACACATTTGACAATTGCAGTAGACTCCAACTCATATTAAGGCATATTATCGGTATAACCCGCCTGCACCGAAGGTGATCAGGGGCGTAATTGTATGGAATTGCGTGCATCGCTAAATCGCTTTAGCCAGGTAGGAGTGTGTGCCTTTTTTCTTTGGGAATGGAATTGCATTACTGGCTTTGTGAGTGTGTGTTTGGAGAGGAACTGGTGATGGGGAGAAAAGGATCAAACATACAGGAAAATGCAAAGTTTTGGGTACTATTTTATTTACAGGTGTTGTGCTGCATATGATCTTGGAGTGCAGGGTTTGGGGGCATTTTCCGTGGTACGCTTACTGTAAGACATCACCGAAACCGTTGGAAGGGGCCCGTTTTGTTTGCCTTTCATGGATCTGGTGATGCAAATGGTGCCAGTGCATCTTGGGGGTGATGAGTAAGAGAAATAGGAACTTGTGGGAAATTGAATGGCTGAGTGTACGATCGATGTAGGAGACATGGAATCCGTTCAGAATGTACATGTTTGAGCCGGCCAAATGGAGTAATGAGTTGGTGATGGATGTACTCATGAATTTAAGACTATAGATGATACAGTGGACAATGATGCATTACAAAACTATACAATGTGTATGCTGCATGCTCGACACAAGACACAGAGATAGATGGTACTTGGGTCTATGAAAGAATCCAGTGTAATCGAATACAATATGGAACAATAGTAAATACGGCGCGATACACTGCAATGGACAACTAAATGAAGTCTATAGGACATGATCAATGGAGCATGGGAAAAGCTGCACAATCTTCAGAACATACAATTTCAAGGGGGTCAACCAATTCAGCACTTACAAGTCATACTTACATATACTTACAAGGTGGCACAATATGATAGAATAGAATCAAATCGAATATGGTACAATACAATAGTACCACTAATAACAATACTTGACAGCTGGGGATAACAAGAGGCCAAGCTGAGAACCCAATGTTGGTTGAATCTGTAGCCTTTGGCTCCAAACTTGTTGATTCCCGCCTAATGCCACCTATACCTGCGTAGAAAAACAGCCAGAAAAAGGGGGCGTGAATTGAAGTTGGGCAGGAAGAGGTGAAACTAGAAGTGAAAACCGACCAGTTCCAAAGAAAGCAGGGCACCCGCCAAGAGGAGGCTGCTGGAGGAGGTTGGAGCTGCTTTGTTTGATGGTGGGGAATGGCTTGACCCTAGTCCCGAGGTAAGATTCGTTTGGATGACGTAGCAACAGGATGAGAATGTTCCTGCCTGATCCTTAATCAAACTCTCATTACATTCTGCATGAATACATTCATTCCTTCCTTCCGTCATTCATTCATTCATTCATTCAGTCAGTCAGTCAGTCAGTCTTACCAATGTATGCCATCAACTTCCATATAGTATACAGACTTGTACTTCTTGCCTTCTCTTGCCGTCTGTTGCTCTTCCGGAAGCGGTTTCGCCGCTGATCACCTCCAGCTGACAATGTCTCAGACCATCTCAGACCTACAGGATCCCCATGTTGCCTCTCAACATATTGGTGCGGGCGGTGGTCGTCGCGAAGCAAGCTGAAAAACTCAACATGTTAATAATATGATTATATAGGTATATATGTTTTAGATATATATGTATTTATAGGCATGCAGCATATGATCTACGTGGTTGTGTTTTTAAAGCTTGGGCAAGACATGGGGGCCAAAACCAAACTCCACATTGTTCGTATGGTTGATTGTTCCTTTCAGCCATGGTGCAGCCCCCTCATCCGTTTGATCGCTGCCATCGCGACGTCCGGGCCCCGCCCAAGGCTTGTCCTCTGTGCCCTGCGGACCCCGCCTGCTGGCCTTTCTGCGAGAGCATCGATCCGCTGGGCGTGAGGCGGCGGCGCGCGAAGGGCGTTCGGCGGCGAAGGGGGCGTAGGGGGCGTAGGGGGCGTGTGGAGAAGTGTGGAGAGGAAGAAGAGGATCATCTGAAGACGAATGGGCCGTGGGCTGCGTCGACTTGGAAACTGTTCGCTGTGTCGACAGACCAGTTGAAGGAAATTCACCGATTCACAGCGATGTTCGTGTGGTGTCTATGACTGGACCGATGCTGGAATTGGGAGACGGATCGACATGGATCTGGATACCTGCGAAACCGATGGACGGTGCAGCTGGCTGGAGGTGAGCTGGTTCCGACTGTGACTGTGGCGGAGACCGGTGTTGACAGCCGAGCTGGCAGAGCTGGCGAAGGTTGAATGAAACATATCCCTACAGGTCAAAGACCTCTTTTGACTGGACGTGGTCATACAAAAACACTACTTAAGAAGGTAAACGACCAGGTTTTACTGGGTCAGAATGGACTTGTAGGGTATAGATCTTGAAACAAGAACTTTTCCTTTTAAACAACTGTTCTTGAGAGACAGAGCTGGCAGTAGATATACAATATTGTTCTTTGGACACTTAGGAATCAGATCAGTATCCAGACCAAGCTTCCAGCACCCATGTGTGGGCATCACAGAAACCAATATAATCAGTTTGGTTCTTGATCTTGGATGAAGTTGTTCAGACTGCGTGTTTATGATTTGCTTGCAGCAGGTTTCACAGTGTTGGTGCTATGTCGGTTCTTGATCGTGACATGCCAACACTAAAGCGAGATGGATCGAGGCAATCTTAGAGAACGACATTTCAACCCGGATCTAGGGAAGTTTCAGTACAGACACCAAATCAATCAATTGGATCCAGACACCATCAGACACCCCCAACCTTCAACAGCAAGGGCGGCAGGGCGGTGAAGGACCAACGACTCGAGAGTCTTCACAGCGACGACAGCCGGAGGTCATTGCGTTGGAGCAGACATCATCTTCAGAAATGTTGCAGGCCCAAAGAATCACTGTGGGCAAAGATCATTTGGGCAAGCTAGAATGAGTTCAAGCAGAGTTGGTTGCTTCCATGAGACAAGTCTCCTTGTTTGGTCATCAACATGTTGCAACCCCTGGTATGGGGCCAGAGCAGCCGAATGGGTTGCTGTTGACAGCGTTGCCAGTTTTTCCACTTAAAGAAGCACACTTTCAACACCCGCTTGCATGTATGCAAATGTCTCACCTCGCCAAAACCACGTTTGTTCCATCGTTGTTTGCTGGGGTAAGTGTTGAACGTGTCACCATCGCTTGCTCTGTGACAGCTCCCAAACCATCGCTCGCGCGCAAAACGCGGCTTTTGGGGCGGCTCACTCACGTCCTTCAGGCAGAACTCCGCTTGCCTCAACGTTTTGTGCTCCTTCTGGGGAGCGAACAGGCTGGCTCGGCGGCTCGCACCCGCTCGCACCCGCGACCGTCCACCGCCGTCCTTGCACGGCGCTCGGCGCACGAACCGTCCCCCCGCGCCAGGAAGGGTTGCCCGCTTGGCTGCTGCAGAGTGGCCTAGTGGATCGATGTATCGTTCGGGCCTCGGAGGGATCCATCGAAGTGGTGACGGCGGTGACGAAGTGGTGACGGTGATGGTCATGAAAAAGCTTTTTCGGTCACAGAATTGGTTTCCATAGAGAAGAAGATCGCTCAAAACGGTGGATTCCTCTCTGAAAGTGAATTTCTTGTGCTATTCCCTGGACTCGTAGTCGTGTTTTGCATCGAGCTCATAACGGCCCCAAAGCTGACAAAGCAAGGCGAGTTCCATCTTCTCATTTGTTCGCCACCCAGGAAACCCTATAGCTGTCCATGGGACTGGACATGACTGGGACTGCCGATGAATTGGGGTGAGGAGTTTAGGACGTTCGTTCAATACCAGCACCCTCCTGGCCAGGCTGTTAGTTGAGGGTTGTTAGGCCCTAACAGGTCTCTATTGATGACCTGTCGGAGGGTCCTGGTAGGTGAATATTCCACATGGATTCATCCTTTCGCAGCGAGGCCGGATTCTCGAGGGCCAGTTTTTTCGATACACCTATTGGCCTTGAAACGATGGATGCAAATCGATCCGGGGCAAAGTCCAGAAACTTGAGTCCAACTGCGAGGCAGGAACCTTACATGTCACTATCTTAGAAGAGAGAGACAGAGAGAGAGAGAGAGAGAGAGAGAGATGACCTCAGAGTTGCTCATGCATTCTGAACCTCTTCCCCTTGGCACCCGTCCGAGGAGCTTCCCTTGCGGGGGCAGACGGGATCCTTGAACGCGAGGGGCCACAGGTGGTGAGGACATCCCCCCTGGTGGGGTTCTCCTTGCGGGTGGTGGTGTCGCTGTGTGGCCCCTATGGTCGTGCTGTATAGCCTGTCCCCTTGGAAGTGGAAAGCGGGTTCATTGGAATACTCATGTTTTCCTAACAAACACCGGTGGTGAACTCCACTTCCATTCCAGCGAGTGTACAAAGATCTGATGATGTGAGTTGGGATACTGATACCGGCTAGCTTGGTTACCACGAAATACACCCACTCAAACATCTGGATCTTGTATTAAATGGTCAAGATGTTATGTGTTTCCTGAGTGGGGCACGGAAAAAAAACACCAGTTCCACGTTGGATGCGGAGGCATCGTCCCCTTCCGAAAATACAAAGACCCATTGCAACAAACATGTTCCTTCGTGACGTATTTCGGACATGCCCGAAATCCATTCCCCGGCCCTTTCGTCCCATTCTGAATAGGGATCTGTTTTGGACGATTCCCCGGCTCACGATCTGTTTTGGTTGTGATCTTCGGTTGGTTGAAGTCAGCTCCTTGGAGTCCAGTTGCCCTGCATTTGGCCTTTGATGGGTGGAGAATTGATGGCTGCCCGGACCTGAGAAACTGGGACCAGGCAGCCGGGACTGGAAGAGATGCCCCCTTAGAAAGACCTCTTTTAAGGCACACCAATGCACCAATGTAGGGAATGGATGTTTGGGTTAGGGTACTTGTACGCATTTTCCGAGGCACTTCGGGACTCCCGGAAGACAAAGACCACACCCTGGTAGAAGCTGCATCTACTGCCAGTTGTCTTTGTCCTTCTTCTAAGCCTTCCGCGTTTTTTTCCCAACTGCGCAAGCAGCTTGCAAGGTGCACGTTGCAGCCGCCATGCTCTTGTGCACGACTCAGTGAACTTGTTCTTCACTGTCTCTCGCTTCCGACGAAGTGGAGAACCTGAAGACGTGTACTGTGAAGGATCAGCATCTGATACTTGGATGCTGGAACTCAAGTGAACAGTTTGCTTTCGTTCAAACCCGTTCAAAGCAGGTGCAGGTGTCACCTAGACCTGCTAGAGCTGCTTTCTCGTCAGAACGATTTGGGCATCCAGGCTCCCTTGGTATACATGATCATTCTAAGGGTCCAGTAGCTATATGCCCTAGGGCTCCAACCACCTCTTGAGAAGATGGTTGGGGTGGGTTTGGGGGGTCTAACCACCTTCTGAGGATATGGTTGGAGCCCTAGGGATGAGTCAATCCTGATCAATGATGAACTGCTGATCGTTCCTCAGGTGGCACTATCGCTTGCAGCATTGACAGCAGGATTCTGACACAGACCTAGCAGCATGGGCTGGCAGGTCCTGGTGAAGAGGAAAGAAGGCCAGGAGAGTTTGTCAGTTTTGATTACCCTAGGGCTCCAAGTACCTCCTGAGAAGGTATTTGAACATATTTGGACCCTTATAAACCCACCCCAAACACCTCCTTAGAAGGTATTTGGAGCCCTAGGGTTAGGATTGCTGGCTGGAGAAGTCCGACATCCAAACAACCCAACGTTATACCGGAATCCCGGAATCAAGAGAAGAAGCTACCGAAACGCGTCTCGCAGCCTATCGGAATGCCTATCGGCTCGCTCGCAGCCTGTCGCTCGTTCTCTACTTGTGATCACAAGAAGGGGCAAGTCAAAGGCGGCGCTCTGAAACGAACGATTCGATGAGCGGAGGCGAATGGCCCACGAAAAACGCCGGAGTTCGAGGCGGGCGACCCGCCTGGTGGATCGGGTGGGGCAGCCTGGGTCGAAGTGGGTGGAAGGAACAGGGAGAGCAGCATTTTCTGCAGGTTTGCTTAGGGTGAGGTGTCACTGTTTTCATCTGTTTTCCCTTATAGAACTGGGCGAGTCCCCTTTTTCCTGGGGAGTATGTTACTTGTTCTTTATCCCAGTTCCTGGATAGCAAATCCAAGAGCTCCACATGTGTGAGACTTGTTCCACTACATATGCCGGACTTCTTTGCCAATTGCTATGCCGCAAGCCGAGCCCTTCCTTTCATGGCGTTCGCAAAAAGGTCATCCCATCTCTTGAGACGGCCTGATCCAACTCCAAGTGAGTCAACCGTGTGAGTCAGTCTGAAAACGACGAGACTTGCTGGTGGATTGGATGAAGGGTTGACCCAGGATTTGGATGTCTAGCTTGGTGACTTCATGAATTGGGTGGATCACTGCGTCGAAACGCGCCGCTTCTGAAGCCTCGATCTTCTTTAGCCGAACTCGCTGCAGATGGAGATTGCTACGTGACAGGACGTGACACAACCACAAAGGCTCAGTCCTCGAGCATCGAATGCCATGTGTCTCTGGGCTGCTTGCAAGACGCGGCATGATAGATTCACAGAATTGGCATACATAGCAAGCTGTCATTGGTGAGCTTATATACTTGATGTTACCCTGTTACCCAAGCTGTCCCAAGGTCATTTAAGGACATGTGACATGTTTACATATTATGGAAAGATATGGAAAGGTTTGGGCACTAAGACGGCCACGGCAAGCAAGAGGCTGGCAACTTCCACTCCAGGCTGGCACACAAGAGAAACCATGAACTATATATACACATCAGTAATCATCAGTTTGGACAACCGTTCAAATCACGCAGTACGTATAGTAATATAACCATATAGAATACCAATGAGTTGTCTTCACTCCTTTAAAAGCCACTCTGCACCCAGCAGCACCGCACAACTACCACCACACCCCTTCACCACCACGTCACCGCTCCGACACCACGGACGCGCTGCCAGCCATTGGCCATGTCGTCGCGTCCGACGGTGCGGCTCATCGCGGCGGTGGCGCGCAACGGCGTCATGGGCAAAGGGGGGAAGCTTCCCTGGTCCATTCCGGAGGACCCGCGGGAGGAAAGGGGGGAAGGCAGGGTCGGGCGTCCGGAACTGGGGGCGCAACAGACGGAACATGAAGGAACTGCCTCCGACCTTCGACGAAGGATCGCGGATGCAAGGCGAATGGAGAGACGAGCTTGGCATGGGGAGATGAGTGGAGAGAGAGGGGGAGAGAAAGCTGTGAGGCTGTGAGGATTAAGGTAGGAACGGAGCGAGGGTAGCGGGGCCCCAGCACCACCGAGGAGGCACGTGACTGCAGTGTCCCCCCTTTTCATCCCAGCGAAGTCTCTTGGGGAAGTAAACGCCTTTAGTATCCTTTAGTGTTCTTGATTATATAATATTAAACAAAAAGCACGCAAACTTTAGATTGTATACAATCTTTTCAGTGGATGCTCTTTACAAATCATAATCAAGAGTCTTTATTGTTTAAAACCAGATACGACTGATCGTATCCCATGCAAACCTTCTTTCAGAACACATCATATGCCCTAAGGCCCTAAGTCTACAGGACCCTTTGAGGAGTTCCCAAGAGGGATTTGGAAGGATTTTTGTTGGGCTGTCGCCAGCTCCAAGTGTGTTGGACAGGACTGGAGTCACTTCCTTGCTGCCGTGAAGGGTGGCACCTGCATCAGCGGCCGCCGCTGCTACGAGGAGCTCGGCCAAGCGATGCCCGGCTCAGGTGGGGAGCCGAAGGGCTCGGAGATGCGCGGCGTGCGCCTGGGCGACTGAGGCGCGCTGAGATCCAAATCTTCTCTTAGAGCATTTGGACATAGTCCAGCGAATTTCCTCTATAAACCATGGTACCCTGGGGGTCTTTTTGGTGCATTCTATAGAGGGTATTCTATAGAGGAAAAATCCCGTGGTTCTCTATAAAATGACCCACCTCGGGGTGGGTCATTTTATAGTAGACCCTGTCTGAGAACGCGAAGGTAAAAAATCTGCGTCGCAGATTCGGAGATCATCGGAATTTGCCCGTGCATGTCCGTATCGTGGTTGCCGTAGCCCTGGGGTGTCACTAAAGAATGAGGCCACCTACTTGATGTTACCTACTAGATCGACCTGATGCTTCCATTGGGGTGCGTGAATCTATAGAGTACCATTTTTGCAGGTGATTTTATAGTGGGCTAGATTTTAACCATGGGGTGTGTGATTCTATATTCTGCCGCCCTTCTTGCCTACCTTGGGTGCCCAGATTTTATAGTGCCAGTACCCTGGGGGTACCGTTTTATATCTATAAAATGACCACCCTTTGGGGTCAGGGTGAATTCACAGGGGGATATTTGGACATATTTCGGCGCTTGGGAGATGGATGCTACACTGCCAGTAGTTTGCTTATCACTCCAATAGTCCGCTCGGATCACTCCTTTCATCCAGCACTGGGCAGTGTTAGAACGTGCTGAACGCATCCACTGTTCGAACGTGGGTGCCGCATCACCAGATCTTCACATCGTGCTCTCCAAGCAGAAGGACTTGCACTGCCCAGATGCCGTGCTTCGTGATTCCCTGCCGGAGGCCATGAAGGCCGGACGACGTGAGACCCGCCTGGACACCACGCGAACGGAACCCATTGTGATAGCCAAGCAGATACGTATCATTGGACAGGTGGATGGGGGTTGGTGATGCAAAATTGGACCAACGACCTGACGCACTTGGAGCTTTGGCTTTTCAGAGTTCTTTTGGGTGGTGGCTTCCGAAAAAAATATGCCCTAGGCCTCCAGTCGTACCTTCTGAGGTTCGGTGGGACGACCGGGGCCCGGGTGCCATTGTTGGGTCCAGTCATACCGAACCTGAGGAGGTACGACTGGAGGTGTAGGGATGTTCAGTTCAGTTCCTTGAAATGATTGACGCTGACACACCGGCCGCAAGACCGGGCCACCCTTCAACCCAGCTGTAAGCGCTCATGGCAAGCCTTCTCCCAGTACGCCTCATGACCAGGAGTGGAACGGTTGATGCAAGAAAGAACAAAACACAACAAAATCATACAACATCACTTCTGCTTCTGGTTTCATCCTGCTTCATCCTGTTTCTACACCAAGAACAGGGATCATTCATGAAGCTTCTTGAAACCATGCACCCGGTTTGACTCGTCGCAGGTGGCTCATGAGCGGGGCGGAGATATTTGGATTCTGGGCGGAACGGAGGCAGGGATAGTTTTACATGAGGTTTTACAGTCGGATTCTGGAACATGACATTTTACCATGGTTTTACCATGGTTTTCCAGGACCAGGAGCAAGATGTGCTTAATGCGTTTGCCTTGGACTTCCGTCCGACCACCTCGAAAATCATTGACCTGGTTTCATCGTGTAAAATCCTTAGTCAAACAATGGTTGTTTGGTAAAGCCTATTAAATGAATGGTGGTTGGACTTCTAGGGTTTGTGCTGGACCGAACTGTTTGTGACCGAACTTCAGGATTGGTAAGTGAGCGAACTTGCAGGCCTCTTTGTGCTCCCGTCCGGTCACTGGGAAGGTCCTGGTTTATGTGTCTTTCCATGCTTGTTTCTTTTTATTTGTTCAGAATGAGGGGTTGACTCAATGAGTAAAAAGTAACCTACTTCTATGTGTTCTCTTCTTGGATGATGGTTGATGGATTGTAGGAAAGTGACTGAACATGTATTGTCAAATTTGATGATAAGAGAGATTTGACCCAGCAAAATATGTCATCCACTTTGAAGAGTGACATGTGCACTTTAGGGTTCTCTGGGATATTTCCGATTTTGGAACGGCAAACCTTCCTACTGTGGAAAGTGAATGAAAGTGAACTAAAACCACATGGGGAAGTGAATCTTCCATTATGTACAGTGAACAGTTCACTTGTAAAGGTTAATTATCCTTACCCAGACACTCCATGTATGGTATATATGCCTACATTGCAGTCCCATGGAGTGTTTGGGTTATAAAAACCAATATTCATGTTTCACTTTAACTTTTCTGCAGGGACACGTAGACGTTCTTTGAAAAGCCACTTTTTCCACTGTGAAACAGCAGGGGTCCGTGTGTGCTTGTAGAACGTGTTTTCTTTTTTGTTTCCTGACGTTCGGCGCTGAAACAGCGCAGGTCTATCGCCAATCCTTCGAGTTGGCCGACGAGTTTTGGGCCACACACGTTCATGCCGTGCCTCAGACGGAAAAGCAGCGGTATCGAGCGAGTTCGCCCGTATTGTGCCGGCTGGTGCATTTGTACTTGAACCTTCCAAAGTAGTTGTGACCATGGTAATTGACCGCTTGAGTGGTTTGATTGGTTTGTGTGGCTGGAAGATGTTACGTGTCGGTTGGATGTCCGTACTGGCCGGGCCGCTTAGGCTATCATTCTTTGTTTGGAGACATGGACGATCGTTTGAGACAGAATCCTGACAATTTGTTATTTCACATGATCACATCACGTTTGACAAGAAAGAAGAGGGAAAAAAGTAACCAAGGACGTGGAAGGAGATGTATACTTTCCGGATGGTTGGCAAGAGCATTTTCCCACCGAGGCGCGCTAAAAACAAACAAAAGACATGTTTTATGTTTTTTGTTTTTCAGTGGTTTCTTTCCTCCGGTTTGGCCAGCTCATTGAGGTCCGTTGTTTAATGTGCTTTTCCTTTTATAGTGGTCCCCAAATAGATAGTCGCACGGTTTCCAATACATTCTGACCGTGGGGATCTACGAAATCCGATCCATTTGGGGGTTCTCTGCCGATTGCATTAGCCCTGAAATCCAAAGAAGTGAGCCTGTGAGCCTTTTGGGACGGGCTCCAGGGTTCAGGTGTTAGCTTCTTGGTGGCTGGGTGATGGGCGGTTTCTTTATAACCAAACACTCCGTGGGACTGGCTGTTTCGAAACAGCCAGAGGTTGCGTGGGACCCGGGGTGGAAAGAAACGGGGCGGCAGTCCTATGCGAATGAATTGGGGAGGTCCTCATGGAACAGGTCAGGGCTGCTGAGAACGTCATTAACCAGCAGTCACAAAGGGGTGCCGAACTTGGAGAAGAGGGGTGCCCAGAACATCCACTCACTTAGGGAGTAAACACCACCCCTTTGTGACTCCTGGAAGTTGTGGGGATGGTTGGTTGGGATCTAAAGTCGAAAACATGTGTTAGATCAGCATGCCGCGACTTTTGAACATATTGACACAGAAAAGAGTTCGCGCAAAACTATGCAACACTTCCTGCACCACAAACCACATGTCAGAAAACAGCCGGTTGCTTCCAACTTCTTGTGACAGGTGAGCCGCCGGAGAAGCCAGGACGAGCAGTACTCCTACGACTTCGTGGTCTACCGCAGAGACACGCCAGCTGACTCTGGCGTCCAGTGACTTCCACCGGTGGATCACTCTGGATACCGGAAGTGATCGGGTTTCTCTCACGCAGTTTCGTGGGAACATGGCTGTGACTGTGGCTCACCGACCACCGCCAGCTCGAAAAGCGAGGGGAACCAGTCGAAAAGCGACTGGCTCGGTACGGGTCCGGTCCGCCGGACAGAGGATCCTCCGACCTGAAGAGGAGACCGTCCGCAGTCACCGTTCAACAGACGGACGGTGTTCGTTGCATTGGTCGGTCACTCCAGAAAAAGGAGAAACAAGCTACCGAAAAGACCTGTTTTCCAACCAGCAGCATTGAAAAGGAGAGGTTTTTTCAGCTGCTGGGTGGAAACGCCGTCCTCGGGAAAAAACAGACACGGCCTTCCAGACGTCTTCGCTTGGCCGTTTTCGCCCAAACAAGGGGAGTCTTCGACTCAAGGGCGCAGGTGGTTCCTGGTGCGGATCGTCGGGTGGAAGGGATCGCAGTGTAGCAGTTACTAGCTAAATCCCTAGGGCTCCAACCCATTTTCTCAGAAGGTGGGGACTGAGCCCCCCCGTGGCACCCACCCCTGCCCCATCGAACAGAAACGGAGGTAGTGGGAGCCCTAGCCTAGCATGGGGGTGGGTCCCAAACCAAACCAAAAAGGGACGCCGTTGCCACGCCAAGGGGTTCGGTCTCTCTGTTTGGGCTACTACACATCCATGACACGTCCATATCACCCTCGTGTTGCGTGTTCGGATGCTTTGGTCTTTTGACGTGAATCCGACTGAACACCGATACCTGGACAGCAAATCCCCAGCTTCCAAGCTTGGGTCGCCCTTCCAGGGGTCGGGTCCCCGGCTCCGAACCGGGTCGAGTCGGCGGTCGTCCAGGGGTCCAGTCGTACCTGGCTGCAGGCCTCCTGGCACCTACATGTCTCAGTGTCTCCGTCCTCACCGTACCTGAGAAGGTACGACTGGATCCCTAGGGCGTGACTGAGGATGGGATTTTGGATGGAGGTTTGGATCGGGCTGAGACTTCCACAGTGGAGAAGATGGATTAAACAAGACTAGGGAAGCTGTAAAGTCGCAGATGGTTGTTTCCATTCTTTGGGACTGTTTTTGTCGTAGATTTAGTATGATTTTATTGTTCAGGTTTGTTTCTGGTGTTTGAACAGGTTGTGATTCTTTCTTTTGTGTTTGTTCATTTTTCAGCCGCGTCAAACGAGCTGACGCTGAGCGGGTGCTGCTGTGGCGCTTTTCCAAGATCAGCGCTTCGCTTGAAACGGACACTCGCTTCTGGATTGATTTCTCCACTGAAGGGTGAACAGATAGAAATAGGTTGACCATGGTTGACCTTTCTTTTTCCAGCAGCACAGCTCGGGAGCCAGGTACGAAGTCTCCTGGGCTTCTCCCGTCCGCCCGATCAGGTCTGCACGGTGGCCGGAATCGCCTGGAGGACATGGGCTCCTGGGGACTGCACGGTGGCCGGGACTGCACGGGTGAAAGGTTCTTCCAGGTCGAACTGGGAGGACCTTCCAGGCGATCTTGTGATGTTCCCTACCCCAGACACTCCATGTATGCCATATATGCCTAGATTGACCCCCAAAACCACCCCAATGTAGGCATATATGGCATACATGGAGTGTCTGGGTACTGGTGAACCCCCCTTCTGGGCTGGGGAATCCATATTTTTGCCAGGTTCCTTAAGCCTTCAGACACGCCCAATTCATCTTCTGTGGTGCATTTCGGGTGGTGAATCAATGACCAAAACCACCAAAGACACCCGGGTCAGGATCTTCCCGCCGTCCGACAATCAGATCGGTCACTGTAAAAGGTCCATGAATCCTGAAAATCGGTCACTGAGAAGGTCCTGGCAGGCATGGTGTTATTCCCGGATCCCATGTTTGACCATCTAATGACCCCTCTCCAACTGCTTCCGGTTTGTCCCATCCTGTGAGTACAACCAGTTGACAGCATGTCGGACAGTTCGATGAATTCCATGAATTCCAAGGAAAATGACTGAAGTCCACCCCAAACACCATTTTCGCCTCTGCGCCTCTTGCCTGCTGAGGCCGCACTTCGCTCGACCCGAGAGCCGAGCGGCTCGCGCAGGCGGAGCGGAGCGGTATAGGAGGAGGGATGGTGGGCTACCGCAGAGGTCATGAGGTTCATGGCTTTAAGTGACTCTACAAGTGGGATTGCTATGTGTTTTTAATGACAACGCGACTTTGCCGATGTGGTGCACATTCTGGCGTGGCGTCGCTTGGGAGTTATGTCGATGGTTCGGACCGGGGTGCGCGGTCCTCATTGACTGGTTTCATAGAAGAAGCTCGTTTGGTACCTGTTTTGAACGCTCCTTGGAACGCTTCATAGATTGGTTTTCCTTTTGTCCATCAGCAGTCAACCTTGTGAAGTGAAAGTGAACGATTTTCTCTGCCCAGATTGACGACCTTCGACCACTTGCACATGGTGGGGGAGGCGGGAATTTGGCTGTGTCATGTACAATATATATTTGCATCTATTTGGCATAGGCATCTGGCACTCCCCTTAAGGGGAGTGGAATCTGGATGATGTTCCTACTCCCCAAGTACCACCCCAACTGATCGGTAAATATGGCAGCCCATGGGGGTCTTGGGGTATAGCTATACAGCGTGGCTTCATGACGTTGCCAGTTGCTCAATCGCTTGGCTGGACTTCTGTGGCTTAGCTTCCAAAGCTTGTGCATCAGTCAGACATCTTATAAAAGTGCTTTTGATCACTTGAGGGACAAAATAATCAACCAGATCCTAAAACATCGTCACGCATCATCATATCATCAGTGTTTTTCCTACTTTGTAGAATCTCCAAATCTCCTGATCTCAGTTATTAAGTGCTCGAAAAGACTGGTTCAAACATGACGGTTAACGCATGTGAAGACCTATAGAATAGACACTAGGAGCCGCCAAGCAGCTCTTTCCGCATGGATTCTACACGTGTTCCGGGCTCAGCATGAGATGGTGCGCACCCCTGTCTTGGCTGTGGCCTGGCGGTTGAAGCCACCGTGTGGGATTGGGGGGGTTCGGAGTCCTTGGCCGAATCAGACTCAACCCCCGACCTGCGGATACCTCCAAACGTTGGAACCTCAACTCGGGCCGGAAAAACTCCTGGACCCTCCGAACGAAGACGACCATGCGAAACAAACCACACGACCATGCGTGAGTCCCTCCGACTTGTTCGCTCCGAACGGAGGGTCCAAGTTTTTCAGCTCACCCTGATGAGCGACGGAGTTGGAACCTGCGCTTGCGGCAAGATGACTGACTGGTGCGAGGAAAGTGGAGAATCAGGGAATGAGATCACATGCATATGAGATCACTATACCCAGACACGACCTGTCTGGGACTGCTATACCCAGACACTCCATGTATGCCATATATGCCTACATTGACCCCCAAAACCACCCCAATGTAGGCATATATGGCATACATGGAGTGTCTGGGATATATATATATATAATATATATATATACACCTACATTGACCCCTCTGGCACCACCCCTGGACTGATCGGCAGTCCTATGGCAGTCCCATGGGTCGTGTCTGGGATAGATACCTCATTCCTTACGAGTCGCACCTGCCTGGCAAGTTCTTCAGGGATAGCTCGTTCTGTCTATGGGGCTTGCCAGAGGTTGGTCACCAGTTGGTCATAGACTTAGGTTGAATATGGTTGAATCAAGGCTATTGTTGTTTGCTCTGATATTTACATCCCGACAGGTCAAAGACCTCATTGTACTGGAGTTGATTATACAAGAACACTACTCATAGAAGTAAAAGACCAGGTTTTGCGGGGTCAGACTGGACTTGTAGGGGGACATTTGCATAAACTCTTGGGCATGGGTTAGATGGGTTAAGAGGGGCCGGGTGGCTGTTTGAGTGTCCGAAGGGTTGATTTGGATTATTTGGGCTGACACCATGTGATATCTTTCCTTCTGTAGATGTGTTTCTGGTCCTGAGCAGCATTGGTATCTCCAAATGAGTATCCCTCAAGCAAAGGAGTTTGTATACTTTCCTGCCGGAGGTTCCTTGAATCCGCCCAGTCTCAGAGAATGCCACAAATTCTAAGGCCATCAGAATAGGAGGCCTCTCAAACCCATGTTCTCCCTGTCCAGCTTCCCGCAACTGCCACAGCCCCCGTCTTGCGAAGCTGTGGCCGCTGAGGGATGTGTCCTTTGGGTCCTGGTGTGCGAGGTGTGCGATATGCGTTTCCACTGGACGGACGTTGGGGGGAGAAGTCTCAGGAAGTCGCCCATGAAGGTCCGTTTCGATCCGTTGGCCCGTTCGCTCGTTTCCATTGGGGGCCATCCCCCCTGTTTTGGGGGACATGCCCACGAAAAAGCGAAAAGAATCTGGGGTGGTTCATCCACCAACTTGGTGCTCCGATTCTTTCGACTGGTGAATTCTTTCGTGGACCCGTGGTGGTCCCCTTTTCGTCCCTCAACCGGCCAGGCCCGGCCCACCCGTCGGGACGGTCGGCGCTTGAACGCCACCAACGACACGGCTGGGGACCCAGGAGGTCTGGATGGATGGAACTGGGCCGTTTTGGATCCGCGGTTCGAACGTAGCTACACGAGATCTCAGTTTGCTGTCCCAGGTCTTCCTTTCGCCCATTTCTGAGGTATCAGGTCGTTTTTGCTTTGCACTAAAAGGATAATTCAGCAACTAGCTCGCAAAGTGGTAACACACCTCTGAATGGACCCCGAACAACTGATTGGTGCTTAGTAGGGAACGAGGGAATGAGCCCCCAATGGAGATTCCTTTCAAGCCATTCCGCCATTCCCTCATTCCCTACTATATTATAAGGGCAAGTTGGGGAGGTCAGGTTAGCAACTTTTTTGACCCAAATCGTGCGGGCAGGTGGATCTTGGGATATGGGAGGTACTGTAAACTGAAGCAAGTCAAAGTTTGTGTTGCCTCGCTGGCTCAAAGTGTATACTGTAACTGTATACATTATATAAGTTTATCGCTGTACTTAATTATTCAATAGACCACTATGAATAGGCATCCATAACGAATGTGTTCAACATGTTTCGACACTTAACAAGGTATACATATTTTTTGAATCCGGTTGGCAGTGTGTGATGTATTGTGAAGTGAGATACGTTACTCGTGTAGTTAGTTTCGTTTCTTTGGAAGATGTGCTTTGCTCCATAATTGCGTCATGTTAGTCTGAAACCTGCCACTTACATCAACCAGTCCTACAGTATATGTGATAGAAACCAGGTGTATCTTCCACCCCTGCTCTCCCAGAGTTGGAAACCAGTCAAAATCCATTCAAAAAGCCATCCGAAGGAGGTCCAAATGTCCAAATGAACCAGAGAAACACACACACACACACGAACACACACACGCTACAAGTACTAGACAAGAGGGGCTTCCGGCCTTCCGCCTGCCTGCCTCGGCTGAGGCCTGCCTCGTGGAAGCGCCCTTTGTCGAGCTGCCGAGTCGAAAGGAGAGTTCGGCTCGACACGAACTCGGGCGACCCCTACCTGTGTGGGTGAGCTGAAATGAGATGGAGAAGCCATGTGTGGCGAGCCGGGGGCCACGTTAGAACCAACAAGGCTTTCTTCCCACAAGGGTTAGGGTGATGATGGAGGGTTAGGGTGATGATGGGAGGGTTACGGTAATGAAGGGTCAAAAGCCTATCTGTAAGAAGACTTGGAGTCATAGTATCATAGCTACTCCAGTATGTCAAGCAGGGCTCAGATTGGCTAGATGTGTATGTTTGTGTCCGAAAATCATGAAGACCAGCTATCTCACTCAAAAAACATTGAACAGCAGGATATCCCCAGCTTGACTTTGGGTCAGCACTTTGACTATCATGTATACTGTATACTCTTACAAGAGGCGTCATGTAATATGGGAGGCGATGGATCTTTCCCCCGCCGGGAGAGTGTTCACCGTATTTCCCCATCACTCCCTGCATGGTCATCGCATGAAGAAGCTGCCCGGCGGCCGGTCCCAACTGATGTGCCCAGTTTCACCACGGTGCCGTGTGAGGAGATGGACTTCGACGCAGCGGCTGTTCTCGGCCACACAGCCGATTTGATAAACACCAGACGCCCGAGCTAAGTATCGGTGAGAAACCTTAGAATGCCTTGCATGACAATTGGGCGGGGAAGATGAGACTGAAACGAGCGAGCAACGTGTAGCATCAGATTCTCACCGGTCCCGGTCTAGCCGTTCTGCTCCCCAGTTGCCCATGTTGCTTGGAATTGTTGATCATATGAGTCATCATTCATCCATGAGGCTGGAGCTTGTTGACTGAAGGGGAACCACAAATCCTACTAACCAAATTCTGCATGAAGAAGAAGGTCTACTCCCCATGCGCAGGACTTGGCGGAAACACTTCATGTGGTGCAGGGTCTTATCCATGTTGACATCCCAGACAGTCTATGGAATCGTTACATACATGAAGGATCATAAATAGGAGTATATATATAAATGTATGTAACTATTCCATCCATGGAACGTCTGGGGACGGAAGGTGTCAAAAAACCCATGGTCTGTCATCTCAGGCGGTGTGGGCTTTGGAGTGGCGTCCATGGCGGCACTCTTCGGCCCGGCGACTCAGAGGCCGAAGCGTAGCGGGTTCGTTGGGTGTGGTGCCCTTGGGTTCGTCATGAAAGCAAGACATGTTTCAGAGTTGGTGCTGGTATAGGGAACCTTCCACTCGTATGCTCCAGCATCTGGTGTATGCCAAGCAGCCATTTTGGGAGCCTGCGAGATTCTCCGGGCCCTGGCACTGAGTGAAGGGATTTGGCATCATTGGAAGGATTTGTTTGGGCCCAACTTAGGTGTACATAAGATCTTGCTATGCCTCAGAGCTCGAGGAGACGGGGATGTACCTTGGCAAGTGGACGTGGAAGGGAGTTGTTCATCAGATTCTGGTGTAGAGGCCTGACAAGGATCCCTTGTTCCACCCTACTTCAGTGGCTTTTTTCTTCCCTGGAACAGATAGACTAGACGATGAGACGATCCAACCCCAAGACAGAGGATCATGGTCATATCATTTGCGTATATATATATATATACCAGCAGTCACAAAGGGGTGCCTATTGGAGGATAGGGGTGCCCATTATCCACTCACCTAGGGACTAAAAACCACCCCTTTGTGACTCCTGGTACAGTTTATATACAGTATAAGGTGTGACAGTGATCATTTATATCTTATCTTTCCCAGTTCTCACTTCAATCAAAGGGGCCCATCCGCAGCTCCTTCTCAGCAAACCGAGACTCACACCTTGCTTGTCTTTGGGGTGTGTGGGCGAAGGCGTTGGAAGATTCTCACTTTGAAATCCACCCAAAACATCCCAAAACTCCGCCAAACGCGTGGGTCGGGTGTGGCCCGCGCGAGGCTTGGTTTGGATGCACCAAGGTTTAAACTAAGATCCAAGAAGCATCAAAAACATGTACCGGACTTTTTGGGTTGCTGAGGACGACCGTGATGAGCTCCTTTCATGTCTTGCGAATTCACTGCCATCCACTCGCAGGGTGGGAGGGAAATTGAATTCCGTTGGGTCCGAGTGAAGCGGTTCCCTCCGTCTCAGGTGGCACGTGGACTTCAATCGCTCTGGCAGCGCAAGAGGGGCACTCTCAGCCCAGCGGAGAAGGAGTGATCAGCAGTGATGAGAAGTGAGACATAGATGGCCCTTGAGCCTTTGATGGATGGGTGGACTCGTAGAGGGGTCGTGCACAACCAATTCACTTCAGGTTTCAAGCCTGGTCCTGAACACCTCATTGAGTAGTGCTTTTTTTGTATGATAAAGAGGTCAAACTGATCGGTAGGAATTGGTTCTGGTAGGCACCGGGCTTGGCATTGACCCCTTCGATTCTTCTGACAGACTGAGCGACAAGGAGCGACGGAGCGGTCGCAAGCAGAGCTTTTCGACGATATCCCTAGGGATCCACTGCCACCGAACCTCAGGAGGTACGACTGGGCCCGACGTTTTGGCGCCTACATCAATAGTCTCCGTCCTCACCGTACCTGAGGTTCGGTACGACTGGATCCCTAGGGTATATATGTAGTGGATTGAGAGTAGAATGCGTAATCCTAATGTCGGTAGTTTATATGGACCCCCATCTGTTCAGAACATTGTGAGGTTTGATAAGTCCCCTTCACTTGCTAGGTGTTCGTTTGGAGCTGTTTTTTCATTCCATGTCCAACCACCACCAATGCTGTTGGTTGCAGTTCCTGTTAGACTGCCTTGATGGACCTTCCCTGAGGGATGGCTCCTTTTTTCATTGCGGGTTTGTGCCATGCACTCTGAAACCAATGAAATTTGACTGGAAGATATGCCCAGAAGGATCCCCAAACCACCCCTGGCCTGATTGGCCCATATGCCATGTACCATACACGGAGTCTTTGGGTGATCATTGAAGCTCGCAGATGGACATGGGCCCTGCTCCGTGGTGTAGCTATACGTGCCTGCTGTTCTCAAAGTGACCGAACTTGATTTGGGGTGCCTGTTTTACAGACGTTACAGAGCACAAAGAGGAACTCTAAAAGGGTCACGAATTAGAGAAGCGCGTGAAGGTTTGTTCATCCTATAATTTCTGAACCACAGCTTCTGGTCGACCACAGCTTCTGGCTTGAACACCAAATCGAAGTCGTCGACCGCCTCGCTCTGGTCGACCGCCATTGCAAGCTCTGGCGCAACGGTCCACGGCGTCTGTCCAGAGTCTTTGTTGATCTTTCGCAAGGGATCGATCGAAGGTGCGAGCGATGTGTCGGATGGTGTGTCGGATGCTACTGGTTGGCCGGCTCGGGTGGTGTTCTGAACGGTGTTGGTTCCTGAAACGGATATACTGGAGGCTAAGGACTAAAGACTGTCACTAGACCCGTAAGTCCTAAGTCACTAGACCTCAGTATATAGTTTGCATCTTGAAGACGATGCTATTTCAAGGCAAGCTTGATGCTTGATCCAGGCTCGCAAAGTTCCAGCCTTCGAAAGGTGTCCTTTGCGTTCTCAAGCCATAGGTGGGTACAGCCATGGCCAGATTGTAGGGCCTCCAGCAAGTCATTGTTTGATCATGTTGATCAACTTTGCAGACCGCCACCTGATTACATGCACCATCTCTTGCAAGAGGTCCAGGATGGTGGTTTCCCCAATGAAACGACCTGGTCGTTGGATCCGAAAGACTGGCATCCGGCATTCGGCACTCGCCGTGGCTCGACGGAGAAAGAGGGTCCCTCTCAAAGAGAGGGGTCCGGGAAGAAAGAACAGAAAGAGGAAAGAGTTGGGTTTGGCTCTTGCAGGAGGGGTTTGGCTCTCATGAGGGTCGCATCGGATCGAATATTCCATCGTACTGTAGTTGAATACTCTTTCTGCAGGCCTACGAATATATATATATATGTATAATGGATTGTGATGTGCGTGCTTGAATTCTGTCCTAGCTGCGTTCAACAGGAAGATCACCCCCCCCAAACTCCCAAACCTCCGTTGCTGCTTGGGAGGGGGCGTCCGTACCGTTTGAGGATGTATTGTTTGAGAGTCCTGTGACTCCACGAATCGGCTTTGTTTTGCGTCCATGTTTCCCCATCAGGGAGTGTCAACATGGTAGACATACCTGGAGCCTGATTGACCACTGTTTTGGAACCCAAACGTTATTATGTCTGGGGTCTAGCTATGTAAACATTTCATCATTTGAGCCTGCTGCTTTGGGCTATCACGACGCCAACCCTCGACGTTCTTTCTCCGTTCTTTGCTGCTTTTTGGTGTTCACTGAATCGTGGCCGTGCGACCCTCCAATGTAATCTGCATGTTGGGACTGCTCCAATGGTCCAATTCATGATCAGATTGGATGGAGGATCCCCAAGCACTTCTTGGAATGTTTTGGAGATGATAATTCCTGTTTGGGGGAATATCTTTTCTTTCGTTGACACGATTGACGTCCGAGATCAACCACAGGTCGGCTTTCCACATCCACCTTCATATATATTGAATAGGGAGGATAATCTTAAAAAAATATATACAATACGACGATAAAAATATACAAATATTCTAAATTAAAATAATTGAAATAATTTACTATAAATCTTGAATAATTATATAAATAATCGAATTGAAATTAATATATTGTTTTTGTTTGAATACAGTATGTATATTTGAATTATGTGATATTTTGTTATTTATAAATGTTATATTGGTCTTTGTTTTATGTGCGATTTGTTGTGTTTGGAGATTCGATATATAATTGTTTTTAAGAGGAATTGTTTAATGATAAACGATATTAATATTTATTATGTTTATATTTAAATTATGGAGGATTTGATACATATTAAATATTTATTTTGTTTCGATAGGATGGAATATATAATTAATGTGGCTTATTTATATAATATTTATTGATCGATTTTATTGGTATGTCGATTTAATATTGATATCTTAATTTTATGTATTGGATAGTAAATTTTATTATATTGTTGATATTAAGGAATATTTTGATATAGGTATTTATACGATTTTATTGATTAATTCGATTAAAGATGTATAAATTTTGATGTTTAAATTAGATAAGGATAAATTTATTTATTTATTTTATTTTCGTTTGAATCGACTAAGGGTATTTATATATTTTGGATCTTTTGGTACGATTTTTTTTTGCAATTGATATTATATGGAATATTATAATAAAATTTGTTGTCCGATAATTTATTGTTATCCGGAATGTTTATTATAATGATAAATAATGGATAATCTATTTTAGGTTTTGTAGAATATAATAATATTGGTTTATAATTCGATTTTTATTTTGATCGATTTAGATATCACATCGACCGAACAAATTAATTGATTTAGCGCTGCATTGTATGAGTTCGAATGTTTTTTTTTCCCGAAATTTTGTCTTGACGCTAGCCATTTAAGACCGGTAAACGATATATCGCTGGACGATATATTTTTTTATGAAGCTTCTCAGGGGCGCGCCGTAAAAGACAATGCACGGACCCATGGGAAAGGCAGATTAAAAAACCGCTCCGATTCTTTAACCATCTTTTCGAGGCACGAGGGAAACGTAGAATTGATATAGATGATAGCCAAGCTTAGCCTCCCAAGAAGATTTATTCAATTAGATGTCCTTGGATCGGAGCTTTTTGCTGTTTCTTCAAACAGGCAAAGGAATCGATCCTCCCGGCCATGATTTTGGTTTCCAAGGAATGGCATCAACAACGCCAGACCACAGGTATAACCTGCTCACTCCGACAAATTACCTTCCTGAAAGTGGTCGAACAGCTCATTCAGAGGCTGACCAAATTTAAGTTCGAGGACCCAGACGATCCATTAGTGATTGCATTCCGGCAAAAGTAGATTTTGACATCGGAAAACACATGGAACTACTTGACATGGGACGCGGCAACCAAATGCCTCAGACCCACCAAGCAGACGCCTCTTGCTCTGGACAAGCTCAAGGAGATCACGATCCAATTCTCCCAGTTGGCCACTCAGACAGAGCTGATTCAGAGGTTCTCAGCTCTGAAGCCGATGAACAGGAATCAAATCCCGAACGATGTTCAAGTGACAATTCCATGGAGAATGGATAATTTATTGAGGAGCGTCGCTTCCTACCAGTTATTCGAGATCTTGATCACCTTGAGCGGAAACGGAATCGGACAATTAATCTTGTTGCGCCTCCGCCAGACAGGTCTGCAAAGATCCCCGCTTGCTACGGCAATCGCCCACCGACGGCGTTGATGCATCGATTGTTGAAAGTCAGATTGCACAACCCGCTGCATCTGTACTATGTCAATGCGGTTTTGTTCGGTCAGATGTGGGCCACTTTAGCCTTCGAGAATTTTGATCCAGAGCTTTGGGATCAATGGAAATAACCTCTGCTTGAATTATTCAATTCATCCTCCTTGATGGATTTCAGTGTCACCGAACCATTTCGTTCCCTGCTGGCCGCCTGGTTTTAAGCACACCCACCGGATGTGCAGCAAGATACGGCTGAATTTCTGGGTTGGCTGAGACCTCAATACCTGATCCACCGCCTATGGGGTCAAGAATATTGGGGATGACAAGCCCGCCTTGCCATTAGCCCCGAAGAGGATAGGGATGTCCTCCTCGCACCAATCCTGCTCCGCATGCCTGACGAAAAGAGAAATAACCTGCAAATTTTGATCAATATGTGGCATGGCCAGGCCCCGTATACACATGCCTGTATTCGTGCACATCCATATATTGTGTTGTAATTCGAACGTTTCCCTGCAATTATGGTTATCGATCTAAAGGTCTGATATAGAATTATTGATGATGATGATTCGGAACATATTAAGATATTATTTGGCGAAAATGGTTTTTTCGAATTGACGAAAATATTGTTGTTTGCGAAAAAAATGGCTAAAGATATCTATGTTATTATTGTTGCAAATATTGTTATTATTGCATTATTATTGATATTATGTTTGTTGTTATTGTTGCAATTTTTATTGTTCTTGTTTTGGGGGATTGGCGTTGCCATAAAATTCTACTCCGCAAAAGGCGAACATTTAGTTTAAGATTGGCGAAAATTTACCCTGCCAACCTATTATGAATAAATCTGAATAATCGATTATTATATAAATTCTTGCATTTTTGATTCTTGTTGATATCCAGGAGAAATACAAACAACATATAGGATA